GCCATTTATAAATGAAGAGATTATTTTCAATGATTGAGATCTCACTTGAGGCCAATGGTTTAAGTTTTGACGTTACAACAAAAATGAGACTTGGAACCTGAAGATAATGCTCCTTATGGCTGTGAGGGGACTGAAAAAAGGAAAGGTCTGAGTGAGGAAGTGGCGTTTTGGTTGGAAAAAGATGAAACATGAGAGAATTACACTACTTATGAGGAAACTGTGCCTGTGTCTATTACATTGACAGATTTATTGAGACAGAAAGGCTTAGAAGGTGAATAAATTAGTGGACGGTTAGAAAAAGGATGGATCTTTATAAGAATTGAATGTCTTATACAAATCTATATGAGCCACAAATTAAAATTAGAATACTATCAATATTCCCTAACTGCCTAGCAAAGACAATATTACATCTAAGGGGTGGAAGTGTTCTCAGAGAGGTCTCGCTTTAAGGAATGACACTTGAGAGTGGCAGTATAATACAGCCTCCGTGGAAAAGGTGGATGAAGAGAAAATTGTAGTATTTTTGCCAAATAGATATGCTGACATCTGACTGGATCATGGTGCATGAATTAGTTAACCCAAGGTCACTGAAGATAAAACAACTAATGAAAATTGTAGGCTTGCTATTTTTTCCCCTGTTTCATACACACAAAGAAGCACTGTAATTCAGGGAGAAACAGTCTCAAAAACACCTTGAGGAAACATCTCCAGTATGAGCATAGAGATCACATAGGTCTATTTTATGTAAAATTACATGGGGGGGTGGAGGGAGGACAGCAGGTGAAGTGGATGATGTCTTGACTTATTTATTTTGGGCAAAAAATATTTAAAATTTTATCTTAGACTGGTGGTGTATTGTCACTGCCTCTAAATTACCTTGTGCTATGTGACTGAGTAATGCTGGCAAATATCTGTAATTTAAGTGTTTTATTTCAATTTTGACAGGATTTTTTATGCCAGAGAGCTTTTTGAGTAAGAAGCCTTTTAAAGCAATCACATAAACTCGGGTTTTGCTTTTGGAATACATCATCTCATTAATTAAGAGGTTGAAGTCTCATTACTTCATGTCTGTCTTCACTGTATTATTGTAAACAGCAACCCTGCCATTACCAAATCATATGCTATTTTTATTTTTCCAAAGATCTAGAGCCCACAGTTATCATTTAGGTGGAACCTTACAGACAAGAAAAAGCAATTTGCAGCTTCCCATTCTTAGCTGTGTATTGAATAAATCTATTTTGCTATTAGTATCTGTTTCAATTTATTTTTCTTGGTTTTGGTCATAGTTCAGTAACATTCAAGAAAAAGTGTTATGTGGTAGCTAATTTGATATAGGTGACCCATTCCTTACATCACCAAATTTACCAGCAAAGAAACAAAAAAAATGCTTCCCTTAGAAATATATTATAAATTCAAATAACAAGGGTTATTTTGATAGGCCCATAACTTTTAGCTTCTGATCATTAGTTTTGGCAATCATTAGCTTAGTTAATGAAAAACAAAATATTTATCACATTGAAAATGTGAGAAACTGAACGCTGAGCAACTAACAAGTCAAAAGCACATGTTCTGAATCACTGACTGCCTCCCCAACAGTATCAAATTGCTGTAGTATTAATAAAGTCCTTTATTAACATTTATAGATGAACCGTGAATTCCATGTTCACTGTGAGATGATATAGAAACTTAGAGTTTTCGTTGCAATCTCCTATGTGAACTTTAAAAGGTTCCAAGGCGCCGGGCTCGGTGGCTCAGCCTGTAATCCCTCGCCTTTGAGAAGCTGAGGTGAGTAGATTGCCTGAGCCCGCGGGTTCGAGACCCACCTGGGCCACTTGTTGAGCCCTCATCTCTACAATAAATCAAAAAATTAGCCAGGCGTGGTAGCGCGCGCCTGTAGTTCCAGCCACTTGGAAGGCTGAGGCGGAAGGATCGCCGGAGACCAGCAGGTCGAGGCAGCAGTGACCGGGAGCGGCCACTGAACTTCAGTCTGGGCAACAGAGTGAGACTCCAACTCAAAAAAAAAAAAAAAAGGTTCCAAGGCCATTTTTATAAACAGGATTCCATTTTCCTTAGCCAAAATGTTGTCCTGACATTGACCTTTATGTAGTGTTATCTATGCATTTGGGCAGTTTATTTTTCATCATAAAATTTTTCTCTTTGATTAAATTTAGTGTCTGAAATTAGCTCATATTTTAAGCTAGGTTCAGTTATGCGGAAATAAACTTATCTATCAAACTGACAAATTAACTGTAGAAATAAATCATTACTTATTTCTAGTACAATTGAGGTGTACTCTTGGAGTCATTTTCTTGTAGTGCAATGAGTCAAAATATGGCTTTGAATTTCAACTCTACCTCCAATGAGTTGTGTGATGAGATCTTAGGCAAGGTACTTAACCTGAGACCTCAGTTTCCCCATCTGCAAATCTGGGATAGCAATATATATATATATATACCTTAAACCATTTTAAGAGTATTTTGAGAGTTAAAATTTTGTTGAGCCATTCAAAGCACTGAGAACTTTGAAAGACTCCATTGACACCAGAAAGCAAAGAATATATGGATGGGATAGCAGGTCCCAAAGAGTTCAATTTGGTCAGCATACAAAGAAAATGAATGAGGACTAAAAGAGATCTTGTGATTGTAAGGCAGCTGATCACATTGACTATAGAAAACAAGTGCAGGTACAGCACAGACAGAAGATGATGCTTGGTAACAGGAAGAGTGGATTACATCTCTGCAGAGGTCAATGGGGTCAGAGTTGATGCTTGGACCAGAGCTCTACCCCTGATGACAAAACAAATTAAGTCCCCCAGGAACGTAGAACACTTCCAAGGAGAAAAAATGAGGAAGAAGAGAATTCTGAATTGAGTGTTTACCCCCAAAGAGACCGAGTTTTAAAACCAGAAGCATGTGTGAGAAATACCACTATGCAAAAGAGCTCATGTTCTAAGGTAGGTACAGTTATACAGAAATAAAATAAAAAGTAACTTCAATTTTCTAACTTTAGAGTTTATGATTGTGTTGAAATATCTTATCCACTAAATCATCAGGCTTGAGATACCTCAAGTTTTAGTTCTTAATTAATCGGAGACTCTGTTAACTGAAATAGTTTTCAAGATTAGAAAAAGCAAGGAAAAATGCTTCTCTTTCAAATAATTTTTAATTGTCATAAAAGTTAAAATAGGTACAGTATTATTATCAAGGATACTTTAGAAAACTCCATTAAGCATTGCTTTCACAAATAGGGAACATTATCTTAAGCAGATTAAATCTATTGTCATTATATCTCAATTTAAAAACAAACTTTCAAAAATATAACTCAAGATGTTATTATGTACAAATATTTTGAATCCCACTATAAACTTCAAAAGTTCAGAAAACCAGAATTTTTATTTTATAAGTTATAGCTAAAATTATGATGTATAACTCCAAAAACATCTTTTTAATGTGCAGGTTACACTAGAGTATGTTTACATCATCAGCATGTGGTTGGCAAGCACAGTGGGTGCTCCCCACAATCTGTAGGTTTTGCCATTTTTATTCCTAGCTGTGTTCTGAGTCATGGACCAAAGTTGATTGTGTTACAGGATAAGCCATTTGAAGTGTTAGCTATAGTAAGCCATGCTAAGCCATAATAAAACTATTGCTGTTAGACATAAGATTATTAATATCAGGTTTTATATCAACTACATTCTTACTGAATCTCAGGCATATAGGAAGGTGAGGAGAAGATGGATTTGAAATACCTTTTTGATGTTGCTTGTCTGAAATCATTTAATCCTGTAAGCACATATTTAGAGATTGTATCTTTAATAATTAATATTTTGTTTTTATTTCTAAATATTTGGCTCAATGGAGACATGAAAGAGAGCACTTCTACCTCAAAAAGGACAAGTTAACATTTGATTTATTGCTATGGACATAGAATTTGCCTTTCAAAATATAGTCAGTCTATACTGATTCATACTTTTCTTTTAAGAGTCTGTTTATCTAATGTGATGTTATAACATTAGTTTAGTCACAGAATAGGAATAAAGAATTTATAGACAGAAATACATAGGTAATACATAGATAACACCTCTTAAAATGAGTATACTTTTTTTTGGTGCCGTGTGTGTGTGTGTGTGTGTGTGTGTATGTGTGTGTGTGTGTTTATCATTAAGATAGGCCTCTGATAGTGGATGTTTGTTGTTAAGAATAGAAAAAAATTGAACAAAAATTGTATGCTTTATAACACTCTAAACTATTTAATTTAATGACAAAGAAAAACGATTGCTACCTTTTGGATAAAAGACAAAAGTGAGTAAAATATCTGAGGCATTGAACATATAAAAACATTATTATTAATATCAATATCTATGGGCTACTGTGAAGACAGTTGTAAAAAAACAAGTTCTAATAAAAAATTTAAAGCAGACATTTAAAATATCTTAACAATTTAAATGAAAAAGGCAGTGGTTTTTCCTTCTAAATTTTCTTTATCTGGAATACAACATAGTTATAAACAGGCATTCATGAGTATAATGCATGTTACACACTCAAAATATTCATAGAGACTCACTATTCTGTAAGCATTCCTATTGTCTATCTATTCCTATTGTCTATTGTAGGGTTAGAAGGCACTTTAACATATGAGTGACTGATTATATATATACAGAGGGTGCCAAAAATGTATACAAATTTTAAAAAAGGAAAAACTATTAAAATTATAATACCTAATATATATTGGTAACAAAAGATGAATACAAGTCACGTTTGACTTCTACAATTACATGAGGTGCTCAAATTGGTTACCATCAGCGTACAGACACTTCTGATTATAGCAAACTAAAGTAATTCACAGGTAACAACATCTCTTAAAATGTATATACATTTTTGGGGGACTGTGTGTGTGTGTGTGTGTGTGTGTGTGTGTGTGTTTGTCATTAAGACAGGCCTCTGATAGGTGAGAATCCAAAGGATTTTCTCAATATTGTGTCCCATCATTTTTGTTACCATGGTCTATGTTCCACATTGACTGATGACAATGTTACTCTTGCGTTCCAATGCATCTTCTTAGTTCAGCTGCAGTTTTTTCCAGTTGTTCAATGTTCCATTGCCATTGTCTTCTATTTGCCTGAAGCTTGTTCACCTGACAATGCAAACGCTTAAGAATTGCATCGTATCTCTTATGTTGTACCTATTAAAGGAAGAGCACATGTCAACAGGGCTTGTAAAGTATAAACAGTAAACAGCCATAAAGAATATTTTGACGATTCTAAAGAGGAAAGCACTTAATTATAAACTATTCACCATAAATAATAATGATCAAAATAAACAATAATTTTATGATAACTATTTATTCAAAACATTAGATGTCAGATACTGCTCTGAGAGTTTTCTACGTATAATTAAATTCTCATAACACCTTATGATATGGGTATTATTATCTTCATTTTTGTGTGAAGAAATCAAAGATCAAAGTGTTTAAGTAATTTGACCAAGGTTTCCTAACCAGCAAGTGATGGCATCTGGGATTTGGACTCAAGTGAAGCATCCATGGTGGAGTGAGTACCTTCTACTTGTCAAAAGTTACTGGTGTTAAATTAAACTAAATTTGACCTGAAGAACTCTGTCCTTGGAGTTCCTACATAAGGAATTGCAACTAACTTAGTATTTAAATTAACTGAAAGCCTAACTAGGAGTATACTTCAGTAACACATACTGGAGTCTCAGCTAAGCACAGCAGCGGAGTTTCATCAGTCACAGGCAGCCAAATGATTCGACAGACTGTGTCTGAGCTCTAACCAATTAAACCGTTTCTATACCTCACTTCCATTTTCTGTCCATACATTCTGCCTGCCCACATTGTGGAGTGGAGCTCGCTGAACCTCTGCTGTTCTGAGAGCTGCCTGATTCGCTACTAGTTCTTTGCTTTATTAAGCTCTGTTAAATTTAATTTGTCTAAAATGTTTTCTTTTAACCCTAGTTAAATAAGTAGTTCCATGTCCTATTTCCTGTATCACTGATTCCTGTTTCTTTGAAACACAGACCCATCAGTCTAAAATAGCTGTGTCCAATGTTTTTGGCATCAGGGACTAGTTTCGGGTTTCATGGAAGACAATTTTCCACAGACCAGGGAGGTGTTGGGGGGAGGGATGATTTTAGGTTGATCCAAGCATGTAACACTTGCATTGTAATATATAATGAAATAATTATACAACTCACCATTAAAAAAAGAGGCGCAGACTGAAGTGGTAAATAAAATAATGGGCAGGCCACACGTGGACTAAAATAAATGTCATATTCTGACTTGAAGCCTGCCACCAACTACAGCTGTACAATGGAAATACTCACTTGCTACTCATTGATAGGGTTTTGATACGAATCTGTAAGCAATTGACTTATTATGGTCTTTGTGCAGTCAAACCTCACTGTTAATGTTAATTTGTACTTGCAGCCCCCAAAATGTATACACCCCAGCACTAAAAGAATTACTGGACCACATGGTAACTCATGTTTAACAACTTGAAGACATGCCAGGCTGTTTTCCAAAATGACAGCACCATTTTACATTCTCACCAGTTATGTGTGAGGATTCCAATTTCTTCATATCCTTGAAACTACTTTTTGATCATGGCCATCTTTGTGGGATGTCCATGATCAAAATGATATCTATGGTGGTATCTCATTATAGTCAAATCGTTATTTTAAAAATAAACTAATAAAATGATAGAATAGCAGGGCTGGAAAAGTTACCTATTCATATGTAGTATGTATAGTATACCATTATATGAATATACTACAATTGCTTATCCATTCTTCTTCTTAGGGACATTTGTGATGTTTCTATTTGGGGGCTATTATGAATAACACTGCTATGAGAATTCACATACAAGTTTTTTTAAGCATATGTTTTCATTTTTCTTGAGTAAACACCTAGGAGGGAATTGCTGAGACACAGGGTAGGTGTATGCTAACTTTTTAAGAGATTGCCAACCATTCTTCAAAATAGTTGCACCAGTTGATAATCTCCCCAGCAATGCATGATCTTTCCAGTTTTTCCACATCCTTGATAACATTTATGATTTATTATGGTCTTTATGCAGTCAAACCTCACAATTAATGTTAATCTGTATTTGCAGTTGTAAAAATGTATACACTCCAGCACTAACATCACCACCTCAGATCAGCAGGCATTAGACTCTCATAAAGGAGTGTGCAACCTAAATAGTATTATCATTCATTAAAACTGTGAGCATTCTAAGATTAAAGAGTGTGAATGCGATCCCATTATGATTTTGATTTGCATTTCCTTGTTGTTAAGGGTGCTGAGCATCCTTTCTTGTGTTTATTGGCTATCCTGTACCTTCTTTTGTAAAGTTTCTGCTCAAACCTTTCGCCAATTAAAAACATTTGAGCCGGGCTCGGTGGCTCAGCCTGTAATCCCGCGCCTTTGGGAGGCTGAGGTGAATGAATTGCCTGAGCCCGCGGATTCAAGACCCGCCTGGGCAGGCGAGACCTCATCTCTACAATAAATCAAAAAATTAGCCGGGCGTGGTAGCGCGTGCCTGTAGTTCCAGCTGCTTGTAAGGCTGAGCCGGAAGGATCGCCGGAGCCCAGCAGGTCGAGGCTGCGGTGGCCGGGAGCGGCCACTGCACTCCAGTCTGGGCGACAGCGAGACTCCAACTCAAAAAAAAAAAAATTTTGACTCTAAGTCTTTTCTATTGACTGGTAGGTTCTTTATAGATAAGTCCTGGATACAAGTCCTTGGTATACATATGTACATTGCAAATATTTTTACTCCCCTGTGATTTTGCCTTTACATTTTCTTAATTGTGTATTTCTTTTCTTTCCTTTTTTTTTTTTTTTTTT